TATAGATCTGAGCCATCTTCTTCATTGTTTCACAGAAGCAGACATTTGAGTGAGAATGGGAAAACAGAGTGAGAAAATTTATTTGCAGTGAAGAAGAAATGTGAAAGAGGGAAATTATAAAGAGCGAGAGAGACAGGTGTTTCACAGCTCAGCCCTACTCATAAAATCTCTTCTCTACATATTTTTTTTTTTTTTTTCACAATTTGAAAAATTAAATCTGTAATTGTTTAATTGATGTATGTCGATGAATTACATAACAAATTAATAAAGGTAAGATCGAACTTTATGGTTACCTTTTTTAAAAAAATTGATCACATGATTGATTGTATACGTTACTAATTATATAGTTTTTTTTATAAGATTTAGTCAACACTAAGCTTTGATTAAAGACAACTTCACATTGCTCAAGGCACTAGAGTGACTAGACAGTTAAATTTTGTTTAGCATCATCACATCAACTATTCTCTAATATAGTTATTACTTACTAATTTTGGTAAACACGTACATAATCTAGTGATACATATAAGCAAACAAAAATGTAGAATAATTATGGGATGACAAAACAAGTTTTTATTAATAGCACAACTTTGAAGAATGATCAATCTTTGTTTCAGCCTTCAGGCAGCAATTATCGTTTTTTTTTTTGTTATTTAAAATTAATCGAAAGGAGCTCAATTATTCATAATTGTTGTTTTAAGCCCATAAAATGAAATGTTGTTGGGCTTTGTAATTGAAGGCTATTATTTTGTTATTTAAAAATTAAAATTAATCGAAAGGAGCTCAATTATTCATCATTGTTGTTTTAAGCCCATAAAATAAAATGAAATGTGTTTTTTGTGATAAGGTGTACAAATGAATTTAATTGAAACTTGAAAGTCACGTGCATTCATTTCCTTTTGAGGTGTCCCATGTCCAACCATAAAATAAAATGTTCAACATTTAACTGCACTTATGTCGGAATACTTATGACATGACACACACTATATATTAAATTCTCTATATTAGATTAAAGAATATCAAAACAATAGTATTTTGTTTGTGGGTGGATACCCGAACCAATGGTCAAGGTTTTAATGCTTTTAACAGTTTGGAGTTTGATTACCAAAATACGTATCTTTTTTATAGATTATTGATGCAAAATGCAAAGTTATTAAAAGAAAAACGGAAAAATCGCTTACTTTAAACCTTAAAAGTTTTTAACTAGTATTTTAAACCTCCAACATGATATTACTTATATTATAAATCTTCAAAGTGGCTTTTAAATATGCGCCATCATAAAATTTAACGATGCTGTTCATTTTTCGTCTGAAAGTGATGATGTGACATTTTAATTTAATTTTTGATTAAAAAATAATAATTTTATATATTATTTATAATTCATTAATAAATTTAAAAAATCAGAAAAGAGAAAAAAAAACTTTTTATAATGGAAATATGTTTTTTTATTATTTTCTTACAATTAATTGAAAAAAGTAACAAAAATTTATCTCTTCCTCCTTCGTTAATTTAGATCTTGTTTAAATTTCAGGATATTTGTTCGATTGTTTATGTGGAATTGAGAGTTGGAAAAATCTAATTGAAGGCCTTTGGGAAACTAGATATCTCTAGGTTAAGAGATTTGTGTTGTCGAGTAATTCCTCCAATGATTCGACAATGTGGCCGTTGGATTGCGAAGCGTCTTCTCCGGAAAAGGCAGCGGCTCTCTGTCTTGTTCGTGGCGGCAAGAGTCGGATTCGGATACTCCGGCAATCACGTCACTTGTTCTTCGTTATTTCCTTTCGATTGGAAGAGAAGCTTGTAGTGAACGATTCGTTGATTAAGGATTTGGAGGTGCAGATTTTGAGTTTGAAAAACGGAGTTAGAGGAAGCTCGTAACTCAAATGCAGAGCTGGAATTAAAGAACATGAAACTTTCTAGAATCTGAGATTAAAAAAAAAAAAAACAAGATCCAATGAACGAAGGAGGAAGAGA